GGTGCGCACTCACATCTGTCTGGACAGGGTACCAGCTACCCAGCAATGCATGCATGCTGAGTCTGTCTGTAAATGAATGGTTTTAGCATTCCATTGTAATGCAAGGTTGACACCTCACAACACAGCATCGAGCTCAGCCAAGTTGATGTGCTTGTCTTCGTGCACCGGTCAGAGCCAGCTTCTGTCTTCTGCCATGGTGCCATTGCTCTCCACAACCGCACAGGTGGCTAAGGAGCTTGCATCTACCCACATGGTTACATTTTGCTCACTGCTACACCGGTCACCTTTCACTGGATTGTCCTGGGCTAGTCTCTTAAAAATATCATCGATCATCTGGGCTAGAAAAAGGGTCCTGCACCTCATCGTCCCATCCAGTGGTAACAGTGTTTGCCCTCCGCTTCACAAATGCCGTGGCGACACGTAACCAACTGCATACCGGAAAATGACCAGTCAATTTCGCACACAGCGTGAAGACAATTTGGCGGGTAAGTTTATCGGGGACTACCAGAAGTTCACATCCACGACGTCATCACAGTTTTCCTTGCTCCTCCCAGACATGCAATCCCAACACGCGTGTGCCAATTCTTAGCCGCTCTGGGGTCTTGACAGAACAAACTGCTCCAAATGTTCCTTGACGCGGACTACAGAACACACACTCTCATTTATAAAAATGTCGTCAATATAAGAGGAGGAGGCTGCATTGACAATCTCGTCCTGGCTCAAAACGGTATTAACAATGGCCTGCATGATTAAAGGGGCAACATTGAGCCCAAATCCTAAGCTGGTTAGACAATATCTTTGTCCCTTAATCTCCACTGTTTTGAATGGCCAAAGGGACTTGTCGATGTGTATCTGCAGATAGGCCCACCGTAGGTTCAGAACTGCAGCATTTGGTCCTTGCTGACGCCATTCCCGTAATTTTTGAGAACAAACATCTGTGTTGGCCGCATACGCGTCAATGTACTCATTGAGTTCCCGATAGTCCATAACGGGCCGAACCTTCTGTTTGTTTTACTGCAGTATGGCCATGAGGAGTATTTAACCCTTTGGGGTTCGAGCTCCTCCTCCGAGTAAGGAAGCAGCTAGCCGTTATCTATCCAAACCTGATGTTCCCAATCATACTCCTCCCGAATTTGTGCGGGAGCTGGATATTTCGCCAGTCTATTTCTTAATGTATCCAGAGGTTGGTTGCCAGCCTATTTCCAAGATTCAGTCCACCTCTGAGTGGTCTCATCGAATTCTACTTTAAAGTCAGGCTCGGTAATAGTGATGGCAGCAATGACTGGTTCGACACACTGCGGAAACTTTACCTCACCGGTGCCAGTTACAGATATTCCTCCCAACTGTTTGATGGCGTCTAGTCCGAGTAGCAAGTCAAATCCAAGCAGGTCTCCGTCCACGACTAGGACTTCCATAGCGATGGACGGCTTTGCACCAACGCTAACTTGTACCACTCCGATTACACAGCAGTCAAGTGCGCCTCCGTCTACTGTAAGCACGCATGTCGATTTTCTTGTCCATGCTCGACAGCATGACTTGCGGACTAGTGACTGTGTGCATCCTGTATCCACCAGAGCTGTACATAGTATTCCATTGATACGAACTGTCACTACAGGCAATGTGCCATTTACAAGGGTTTTGGTGAGGAGATTGGCACTGAATTCTTGCCTCCTTGCTCGTTTTCCCGGACAACAACGAGCAATGTGCCCTTGCTGATGACATTGATAGCAAGTGATGGTCCGTCGGTGCTTGGTACCAGCACCTTTGGATGGTTCACGACCCAGGAGACAATCGCTCGCCCTATGATTGGGTCCATCACATTTATAGCACCTCGTGTGCACATCTGTTTCCTTCAACTGTGCAGCCACTGCGGCCTGCTCTGTAGAACCAGTGCACTTCAAGATAGCTTGTGTCAGCACATGTGACAAATCCAGGTCTTCCATCTGGGATGACACTCTTAAAAGCTCCTCTGTATGCTTAGGCAATCCAGCACCGAATGCACGCTGCAAATACTTTTCTGTTACACCACCAAACAGAACTGCAAGTCTGCACAGTTCTGCCAAAAAGACATCGACCGTCTCCCTTGGCTGAAGGCGACGTGCTGCAAACTGCTTCCACGTGGAGAAGGGGTCTAAGGCGAAAGCCATGTATAACGCTTTCTTAACGCAATTGAATTCTGCGCGCTTCTCCTCACTCAATTGCTAGTACACAGCATATGTGCCACCTGCCAAACGTATTGGGATAACACAGTCAATTTGCTTCACACCGCTCAACTGACATTTTAGTTCCGCCTTCTCCAACCATTCAACTACCGACTGTCCAGAATAGCTTCTGTCAAAAGTGCTATCAGCTTCGGGTTGAAGGCCATAATGCTGAAATAGCTTGTGTGCAAAAATGGGGAAAAAAAAAACTCCTTGTTGCGAACCTGAAATGAACGCCTTCTTGCGAACGAACACTTTATGACAGAAAACAAGCAAACGGCACCCACGACTGCTGCCGACGAATGGACGACCGACCACAACGGCTTTTGTCGCTCAAAAAAAAGACACTAAACGACTCGTGCATCTTCTTCTTGTAGTCCTCGGTTGAGTTCATTATGGTACTCCAAGGTGTGCCCAACAAAAACACACACGCAGTTCGAGGACACTTCCGCGCATGCTCGTTACACATTTCTCAGAAAATGAGAATTCAGTTCTATTTTCAGTTTGAACTAAACACCATTTCCAATAGAAGTGATTTACTTGTTGATTGTAGAGGCACAACTGTCATTATTGACTGTAGAAGCACAACTGTCATTATTGACTGTAATCATTCAGAACTTGTATACTCTAATTGTGTAAAATCTGACACAAAAGGAGATGGTCACTTGTACTATCTAAATACTGCAATAACTTCCAAAACTGCTATGCATAGCCTAAAAAAATGACATTGGGCATTGCAATCTGAAGGACATTATAAAACTATAACACATAAAAGGCATGAACATTACTGATAAATCAAATTTAAACTGTAATATATGCATCCAGTAAAAAATGGTACAATATAAAAATAAATTACCCGATAAAGGAGCGAATAAAATTTTAGACTTTGTTCATTGCGATCTAGCTGGTTTAACTGAGTCGAGATTTGTGAATGAGTTCAAATATACACTTTGTTTTACTGACAGCTATTCTGGTCTAATCATGGCTTATTTTTTTACACAAAAAGGTGTTATGTTCCTCATTACAAAAAATATTTGGCAAATGTTGATCCCTACAGCTTTGTAATATACCTAAGAAGCATTAAGAGGCTGGTTGGTTTATAGGCATACAAGGGAGGTGTCCAAACCACTTGATCCTCTGTCGCTTGATGTGTTGTATGATTGGTATTGCTCCTACCATGTTTCTTATTGCCTCATTCCTGATCTTATCTCACCTGGTCTTGTTCCCTGCTTTCTTCAGGCATTTCATCTCACAAGTGATCAGTTTCCTCTCAAGGGTTTTTGTTAGCGGCCATCTCTAGTACTGGTATGTTGGCATTGGTAGGAAAATAGCATTGATAAGATTTGCCTTGGTGCTCATGGAAATGCTAGAAGAGAAGCAAGTTGGTAACTGATTGCATTGGCTTTCTGACTTCTGGTCCTGATTTCTGTCTAGTTTGCCGTTTTCAGTAAATAGGCTACCCAGATATTTGAATTCACTGGTTTTCTTTAGCTGGGTCCCATTGATATTAATGTCCAGTTTTTCTGGTCTCTTGCTGATGCTCATGACCTCGGCCTTACAGACACTGATCATCATGTCGTATTTCTTGCATCATGAGTTGTGTTGGTCAGTGTGTTCCTGTCGTTGTTCATCATTTCTTCACTGTAAAGGTTGAATAAGTCTGGTGAGAAGGCACCTCTTTGTCTTAGACCAATTGAACAAGAACAAAGCAGCAGGACAAGGTGGAATTGTAACAGATGCTGGCATCTTTATATGATGTTGGTATTGGCAAAATTACACACATAATAAATGAAATATACGACAATGTTGATAGACCAGATATAACAAAAATTCAAATCAATAAGCATAGTGATAATGCCCCTAAGATGCAGTGGGTTACAGGGTGTGAAAAAGAATGAGAAGACTTTAGTGAGGAGAAGTGAGGAAAAGAACAAAGAACAGGATTCAGGAAGACAGAAAATGGCATTTGATGATGTATTTAAATTTTTAAAGATAAGTGGCAGGGAAACAAGAGTTCCACAGGCAAGAAGTGCTAGAAAAAAAACTATTAGAATAGAACTTACAGTTGTATCTAGCTAATTCAACAGTAAAATGGTGAGACCTAGTTGCTAATCTAGTAGCATGCTTATATTCATGCAAATCAAAGCACCAAAAAGTAACTAGTTGAGAGGCCAATAATTAATAGGGGTAGCAGACCAGATATGGCAGAAGAGTTCAAATAATTTCACTTGCAAAAGAAAATTTGGTTTAATTAATATTAACTATAGAGGGCTTGACTATAAACATTCTGTATTTTTGTGTTATATTTAAATATCTACATTTAGGAGAAATGTACTTTTACAATTAAACTAAAAAATAAAATGAGATATAAAATAAAAATCAATTTGAGATATTTTCAGTGTCCAGATATGGCTTCAAAATTTGACAAAAATTAGCATAAACTGATAACTCATGAATTGTCCTTTAACATGATATGTAAGCATAAATTGTATTTCAGCCTTTTCTGTTTATATTACCGATACTAATAATAATAATCAAAAGTAATGCACATCTGGTATAACAAAAGCATATCTTAAAATATGTTCCACTAGTGGAACAATGGTGGACTAAACGGTTAACCTTTTAAATTTTTAAAATCTTTTTAAATATATTAGTAAAATGCTTTTGGCATATAGATTTCTTTTTCTTTTCTTTTTTTTCTTGCCACTTTCCTTTTGGATATAGACAAACTTTTCTATCAACATATTCCTTTTTTTTACTATTTGTGAATTGCCAAAACTTCTTTGGAAAGATAGATGGCTTGTGTCCATATCACCTTGAAACACCAGCTCTCATACAATCACCAAAGTTAAGCAACATCAAGTGTGGTCAATGCCTAGATGGGTGACCACTTGGGAATACCAGGTTGTGTAAGCTTGAATGTGTGAGTAGTATAATAGATAACAGATCAGAATTGGAAACTGGAGAGCCAAATTTCAATTCCAGTCAGTTTTGTTATATTGCCTTACAAATACTTTTGGGAAAGGTATGAATCCACCTCTTCTCCTCCCATCTATGGGTTAATTACTAGGACTTTTATCAGTAAAGAACTACGTCCAGTAGCAAAGCCCCTGATCAGGATGTTTTAAGGAGTATAGAACCACCTCTTAATTGCTGTTGACCCTGTTAGGGTCCCAACTATGAGGAAATAGTTAACCTTCAAACTAGTGTCAAAACACTATAAAAGTATAAAAATGCATATTCATAGTAAAAAATACCACCAATACATTTTCATAATAAAAAAATACTACCATCAATACATTTTTGTAAAAGAAATTACTAATGCTCTTAAAAGAAATAAATTTTGGCATTAAATGGTGCATAAGGAGTTGACATGTTGCTAAACAAACAATAGCAATAGTATCAGTAAAGCATTATTATCTCACAAAAATTCTTACAATGTAAAAATATTTTCTGGCTTTAAATAGCCTGTAAAAGTTAGTAAGCTGTAAAATAAACAAATCAAACTTTTGGGAAAGATAGTGGTTGAATAGTTTCCCATTGCCTCTACTACAGTTTTGAAATCCGAGTTGTTCTTCTAGACAAATTACCATCCAAGGTGAGAGAGCTCAGTCTACCCTACTATCTAACACATAGCTTTGAAGTGAAGAAAAAGATGAATTTATGTATTTTCCTAAGGTCATTTGTGCAACAGGCTAGGCTGGATTTTGATCTTGGCTTGCTGTCAACTTCCAATACCATTAAATGCTCCATTATATGCACATCCATTTGTAATAATTCATGTAAAAATGTCAGAAGAATTAAAGAATTCCTCTGTTCTTTAACATTTCTTAATTATTCTTTTCAGGTTCCAAAACATGTTAGCCTTGCCAAGACACCAATAATCAAAGAAATGCCAAAATCTCGAAATGGTGCTCAAGCCAGTAGATTAGATAATGGAAACCTTGGAAAACACAAAGTCTCTGGAACACCTGTACCTACCCAGGGACCAAATCAAGGAGAGAAAACGAATACCTCAAACAAAAGTACAATTTTGAACAAAACCTCTACACTGAAAGGATCAGAAAGCACTTTACAGTTAAAGACGTTTCATGAGAATTCAGGAATGCTACAGAAATCTTTAAAATTAAATGATTCTCTGCTTCCAAAATGCCTAGATACTAAATCTAAGACCGTAGACAATAACATTTCTGTATCCTCAGCAGATGTCCTCTCCAAGTCAACATCTGCTAATACAACCTTAATTTCATTTCCACCTAAAACACAATCGAATTACATGCACCTAAAGAAAAGGTTCTCTGTTTATTCTGAGAAGGAAAACACCAATACAAAAAATAATCAGATTTCTAAAAAAGATACGTCATTTTTAAAAGATAAAGCTGACAGTAAAATAGTAAATTGTAGTAAAACCATTTCAACACACTCGCCAGCTATCAAAGATATCTCTAATACATTCATTACACCCAATTCCATACCATCTGTGAAATCCAATAGTGCAAAGAATCCCAGAAATAATCTTTCAGAAATGAAATCTACTCCGCCCTTATGTGACTGTGGTCGCCGTGCCAAGCTCCGGCTTTGTCATACTCCAGGGGCCAATATGGGAAAAACATTTTTCACTTGTGGCTTAAAAGGTAGTAACCTAAAGTTCAAGAACAAATCTGTTACAGCATGTGATTTCTTTAAGTGGAATACTGACCGTCCATCACTTACCTCGGTATCAAGCCAATCTTTACAGTCTTCTTCATTCACAGCACAGTCTTCAACTTCAGTAATCAGAGAAAATTATAATAGCCATAATAATTCCTCTCAAAGAGCTAGCTCGGCAGAAAATACACCAGTACTGAAAAAAACAAAAATGCGACCATATCAGCTTTTGTAGTTTGAGTCAGCACTTCCTTGGTGTACACAATGTCTTTATCAAGATACTGTGTATTATTATCGATTAAGTTCTCAAGATAAATAACAAAAAAAAAATAAATTTCAATTTTTTTTCTTTTAAATTTTCTAAAATTTATTAGGGCATGCAGTTTTCTATATAAATTCATTGTAAATTGATTCCCCTTACGAAACATTTGTTCATATGACAATTTTTTTTTTTTTTTTTTTTTTTCTAAACTAAATTTTATAAAATTTATTGCGGCATGCAGTTTTCTATATAAATTCATTGTAAATTGATTCCCCTTATACTGATATTAATTACATCAGTTTTATTATCAACTGATAACAATGCCACTCCATATATTGAAATATTAGATGCATACACAGTGTAGACATTGCATGGTGAGTGTAAGGTTAGTATCTCAATGTAATCGTCAGACTGAATCTCAAAGATCACATTGAGTTATAATGACAGTCACTATGCTATGTTGATTCCTTTGTCTATTCTGTCTATATCTATAAATACTCTAATACTGAAAAAAATGTTAAAATTATGAGAATTTAACTAGGGTGTTAAGAATTTCAAATTTGAATGTTAGAATTAGTGGTCATTCATTCAGAATGTGCATAGATGTGAAATATAAGTTTAATAGATTTATCAAACCTCTACCCTCAAGTGTTTCTCTCAATCACATGTCAATTAAACTTTTCTTGATTTACTGAATAAATATATATATATATATATATATATATATATATATATATATATATATATATGTCACTTATTTGGTTGATGTTATATTCAGCACTCCAGCTCTAGATCTTTTTTGTAATCATTCAGTCCACTCATCAGGAGGTATATATATATGAGGAAGTACTGAAAACTTTTTGGTGAGATATGACCCACTCCCCAAAATCCTACAGAATGCTCAAACATCAGGTTTTTTTGTTTTTTTTTTGTGGTAAATGTTGATTTTGGTGAGCCAATATCTTTTCCGGTTTTCCACTCATAATCATTTTCTATACTATTTATATTGTAAATGTATCTTTTAAAATATCTTTTATTTGATTCATAAGTGAATGATTTGAATCAAAATCGGCTGAAAAAATTTCTGTAATTAAATTTCATTTTATTTTTATACTGTATTTTTATATTGTAAATATTCTTATATATGTACACAAATGATTTCTTTTTTCTGAAATGATCAGTTTTTTAAATAAATAATGTAAATATAAGGGTAGCTCTGAAAGCAATGTCTCCTGTTTATTTTACACTATGACAGATACACAGGGGGTGGATAACATCATTAGATACAGCAAGTTTTCAGCTACAAAACACTATTTTTCAACAAAATCAACACCATTGGCAATGTGTTTTTTAAAAGTCAGAAATGAACAAGTTTCTGCAGAGATGCATGGAAAGGGGGCTTCTCACACACATTAGTTACCATCGCTGAAGTATAGTCAGTTATGTACCATGCATGATACTCGCTTAGGCGATAATGTATCTTTCGATACATGACTGACGAGGTAGATTTTTTCCCACCGTAGGTTGCCAGTTCTTTCTGCGGTAGACCAGTTGCCATCCAAGACTATAGAACCCAATCTGTCCTGCTATTTACTCATATCTGGGGAGAAAAGAAGAGTACTTATACCTTTCCCAAGGGTATTAGCGCAAAATTGAATGTAATGGATTCGATTGAAATTCAAACTCAGCTCTCCGATTCCTCAATCTGAGCCGCTATCCATTACGCCACTGTTTTGAAGTATAACTTTGCTCATATCCACTGTTTGATCCCTGTAAATGCTCAGCAAGCAATGAATCCAGCAACACTAAATTTGTATGTATATTTTACGATATTTTTTACATTAATTTTCACCCAATAAAAGGCTCGAGAGCCACTCAAGGTAGATGGGTTACGGTTAAAATAGTTATGATAAATAAGCTGTGATATGAGTGAGAAAAGGAGTTGACGAGAAGTGAAGATCATGAGGATAGGGTTGATAGGCAATGACTGACACCTGACTTGAAGAGGCTAAAATTGTAGTGTTCAGAGAAGCATTCTACAAAAATGACAGTTCTTGGGAAAATAGTCTGGAAGCAACCCTCTACCTTAGATTTGTAACACTGAGGAAATGAGCTGTTGGTGAGGTTTGACTATGCAACAAACAACTGCCACCGATATCATAGGCCAACATAGGAGTCATTACTTTTGAAACAACCCTCATATTTTCTGAAATTTTTGTCCCAAATTATATATATATATATATATATAATGGACTCTCCTGTTGGTTTCAATGTATAAGGATCTGCCAACCTAACCAATTGATTCAGCTATGAATTTTCTGATAATCTTAAGTGGCACTCAAGACCCGCTAGTGATTTGCAAAGGAGGCCACATGTGGAAAAGAGTGAGTATTGTGGGATGAGGTCACTGTTAGATTGGCTGACCTTTTAGATCTTGCTCTCACTCCTTGAAGACTAACAGATTGAAAACTGCTGAGTTCACTCAAACATGTTGATCTCAGATCTACCTGTTCCAAGGCTAAGCTCTCAAGGGTGTTATGAGCTATATTGACAGCTGACAAGTTGCTCTTCAGCTTGTCTTTGTATCTAAGCCATAGGCGTCCTACATTCCTGTAGCCTTGATCTAAATGGCTGTACATTAGAATTTTGGGTATCCTGTCATCAGACATCCTCAAACCATGACCAATCCACTGCAAATGAGACTATATGAGGAAAGTCTCAATTCCTCCAATATTACACCTGTTAAACAGGTCTACATTGGATGACCTGTCTTGAAGGCTAACTCCACAGATGGCATGCAGACAGCTTTTATGGAATACATCCAGCTGGCATATATGGTACCTGTATGGAGTCCACAACTCTGAGCTGTACGAAAGGATGGCAAGGACAACAGCTCTGTAAACCCGAATTTTGGGATGCAGTCAGATACCCTGTTCATCCCACAAATGATGGCGAAATTTGCCAAAAGCACTGGTAGCCATAGCAGTTCAATGCATGATTTCATCATCGAAAGATCCACTGTAGTTGACTTTGCTACCAAGATAGGTGAAAGACTTTAAGGGTTTTTCTTCTACTTTCAATGGTCTCTCTGGAAATTTGTAGACTGATGGTTTTTGTTTCACACCACAGAATTGCCTCGGAGTAAGACAAGGTTAGTGCACTACTTCAGTTTTCAATATATATATATATATATATATATATATATAAATACTGATTTGTGAAAAAATGAAAATAATTTCTGTGATGAATGTGACAACTATGTAAATATAGTGGTCCTTTCATAAAAAAGATATGTAAAAAAAAAAGATTTTTCAGGGAGTCATTTTTATAGATTACCATTTTTTAGACTTCCTCAAGCCACAACATTTATCAGAATTTAGTCCTGGGTATGACAATAAACTATGTCCAGCAGCAAGACCTCTGTTCATTAGATTGGTGGTTTTTAAGAGAGTGGAACCACCTCTTAACTGCTGTTGTTCATAGTAAAACCTGAGCTTGCACATTATCTGAGGATGGAAACCAAGTTTGTTTAAATCACTAAGCAACTTCACGATGAGGGCATATTCCAACAGATGGAGGATTCGCAACAGACCACATCCTCGTACAAGCAGTAGCGGGTCTACCTGCTAAGAACCCACAGAGTCAAATCTCGGCACATTTTATGTATAAAGACATACTATTAAAAAATAATAATGAACTTAATTCTTATTCTAACAGAAATTAATGCACTTTTTTTTCATTTTAACTGATGAAAAAAGTTTTCGTACAAAACAAAAAAAGCATGTTAACTTAATTTAATACTTTGTGGAATATCCTTTATTGAGTTCAACAGCTACCAGTCTATTCCTGTATGTCTCAACTAATGATTTGCACACATTGAGTGGTATTTTGTTCCATTCTTCTTGGCATATTGTCTTCAAATTCTTGATATTTGTTGGTGCTCTTTTCCCAATTTGAATTTTCAAATATCGCCATAAATTCTCGATTGGGTTCAAGTCTGGGGACTGACTTGGCCATTGCAACACATCAATGTTACTTTCAGCTAACCATTTCCTTGTAGATCTAGCGGTATGTTTAGGATCATTATCCAGTTGGAAAACCCAATCAGGATGTAGCCGAAGTCTCTCAACAGAACACATTAAATTGTCTTGCAGGATTTTCTGGTATCTTTCGGCATTCATTTTACCATCTATTATTGATATTCTGCCAACACCTTTTGCAGAAAAACAGACCCAGATCATGATACTGCCACCACCAAACTTTACAGTTGGCAACGTGTTTTTTGGTAAGTAGGCTTCACTGTCCTTCCTCCACACATGATTTCGATAATTATGACCAAACAACTATTTTAGTTTCACCTGTCCATAATACTTTTTCCCAAAATGAATATTCTTTATCCTTATGCTCTCTAACGAATTTTAGCCTAGCATCTCTGTGTTGTTTCAAGAGGAGTGGAGTCTTCCTTGGGATGCAGGATTTCAGACTGTTTTTGTGTAGTTCATTACTTATTGTACGCTTGGTTACTTTAATCCCTAATGCACGCAGATGTTCCTGCAGCTCTTCTCGGATAACCTGTGGATTTTCTTGGCTCTGGCGTCCTAATATTCTTGCGGATCTTAGAAAAATCTTCCTCTGAGCACCTGTTCATCTTTGGTTTTCAACACTGTTACAAGTTTTAAACCTTGCAATGAACAAAGCAATTGTAGTAAAAAGAATATTCAGGTTGTTAGAAATCGTTCTGTAACTGTTCCCATCTTTCCAAAGAGACAAAATGTGTTGTTTTTGTGAAATAGTCAATTCTTTACCTTTAGCCATTATTAGAACCTTCTCGTAAGACTAGAAATTGCAGAATGCTCTGATAATGGCTAATAGCATTAACTATATTTACTGATAACATTACTGGAACATTCTAGAATATACTTTTTTCATAATTAATTGATTATATTATTCCTTTTATGAAGGTCAGTTCATCCCTGTGGTTACAATATGCTTGAACTGCCCATTGTACTTGTACTTGATGCGGCATTCACCCTGGGCGGATTGAGCCGGCTTCTTCCTGTTGACGCACCGCATCACGGACCATTGCTGCCCATGCTCGTCGGTCTGTCGCGAGGTCGCACGAGATGGTAAGCCAGTCGCGGTTCCAGCGGCGGAGGCTGACCACATGCGGGCCAGAAAGTAGCGCCAGATCCTCCTTGATTGTTGAGGCCCACGTCTTCAGCTGTCCGCCTATCCGCTTCCGCCAGGTGGACGGCGGTGTGGGAAGGAGAACGTCCCGTATCAGCTCCCCTCTCGACCGGTGCGCAGCGTGTCCGAACCATCATAGACGCCGTTGAAGAAGGACTGCAGGCAGAGGGCGTAGACTGAGGCGGCGACGGAGCTTGGTGGTAGGGACCCGGTCGACGCTTCGGCAGTGCAGGATGCAACGGAGGCAGTCGTTGTCGAACACCTCCAGTTTGCGCTGGTCAACCACCCTGAGCAGCCAGGTTTCACTTCACACCCATATAGGAGGATAGAGCGAATGATCGCCTGGAAGATCCGCCCTTTCGTGGTGGCCGAGATCTCTCTCCGGTTCCACAGGCAGCGCTGGAGACGGGCAAAAGCAGATCTCGCCGCGCCTATCCGACGTTCCACCTCAAACACTCCTTGTCCAGATGCAACCACAGCCAATCCTAGGTAGACAAACGACTCGACCACTTCCAGGTTGACACCGTCCAGCGAGATGGGGGGCTGGGCTTCTGGTGGGACTAGGGAAAAAAGCACCTTGGTCTTCGATGCATTAATACGCATACCCACAGAGCGGGCCGCGTTGTGAACTCTTTCGAGAACACTTTCGACGTCTGCAATCGAGGACCCCAGAAGGACGATGTCATCGGCATAGGCTAAGTCCGACACCTCTACATCTCTACCGACCGACACACCTGAGTAGCCGCGGAGGGCAGTGTTGAGGATGAAGTCGATGGCAAAGTTGAAGAGGGTGGGTGAGAGGGCACATCCCTGTCGGACTCCGGACCTGACGTCGAAGGGCTCCGATTCCTCACCGTAGACCCGCACCCGCGCCCGCGTGGCTCGATAGTACCCCTGGATAAGGTGAAGCAATTTCACAGGGATGCCGTCCGCCAGCATAAGTTTCCACAGTGCATCTCGATCGACCGAATCGAACGCAGCTGCGAAGTCGATGACAGGACCGTTGGGACCGTTGCTCGAGTGTGCGTCTCAGGTTGAAGATCTGATCCACACCCTTTCCCCGGGCGGAAGCCACATTGGGTGGGACGCATGCGGGCGTCTCGAGCCGTCTGGAATCGCTTCAGAAGCAGAACTGCGAAGGTTTTGGCCGCTACATCGAGCAGACTGATTCCCCGATAGTTGGAGCACACCTTCTTGTCACCTTTCTTAAAGAATGGCAGCAAAACAGCGTGTCCCCAGTCATCAGGAACAGTCTCTGTGGTCCACACTGCATTGAAGACCCTGTGAAGCCACGGAGCGAAGATGTCGGGCAGGGCCTTGTAGACTTCCGCCGGGATCCATCTTCCCTGGGCGCTTTGTTGTTATGCAGCTGACGAAGGACAGACAGAATCTCCTGAATTGTTGGTGGATCAACGCTGCAGTTGTAAGTTCCATCCGCAGGTTGCAGGTCTAACTGGACAGCGGGGGGGCTGGTGGTTGAGGAGCACGTCAAAGTGTTTGCGCCATCGATTGACCTTTTCAGCGACTTCGGTTAGGATCGATCCATCTCCGGCAAGAAGCGTGTCGCCATGTCCAATAGGCGCCCCGATTAGCCTGTTTCAGTAGCTGGTAGAGTTTGCGTGTGTCTCCACATGCAGATGCTCTCTCGGCCTCCTCGGCTACCTTGCTCCAGCGCGCATTGCTCTCGGTCCTAATGGCCTCCCTCAGTTGGCGCCGAAGAATGCGATAGTTTCGAGCTTTCGCAATCCACGCTCTTCTCGCATTCTCGGCAAGCTCAAGCGTTGCACCTGTCATCCAGTCACGTTGGCGATGTTTTGTGAAGCCAAGATGGAGATGAGCTGCCTCCACCATAGCCTTCTTAAGGGTCTGCCACTCCCGCTCAGGCTGCTGATCAATGGTCTCTTGGAGCAACTCAAAACGATTTTGCAGGTCGATACGGAAGTTCGTCCCTGCTGCCGTTTTGAGTTTAGTGACATCTAGACGTTTTGGTCGTCCGTTGGGTCGTCTGGCCTGGAGACGTAGGCGAAGAGTTGCACGAACCAGGGCATGGTCTGAGCCGTGCTCGCTTCCTGTATCGGCTCCTCTAAATGCCCGGCAATTGAGGACCGAGCTTGCCCATCGCGACCAAACCAGGATGTAGTCGATTTGATTGGCCGTGTGTCCATCATTAGACCTCCACGTGATGAGGTGGCGCCTTGGATGCTGGAAACGGGTGTTGGAGACCACGAGGCGACTCGTCGAGTCAAAGTTAACAAGGCGGTCTCCATTTTTGCAGCGTGTCCCCAGACCGAAACGTCCAAGCACATGTCTGTTGGTTGGGTCGGCGGGGCCTGTGCATGCATTCCAGTCCCCTGCTACCAGAAGGAGATCTCTGGCAGGGACCCATCCAACTGCTCTCTGGAGGTCAGCGTAGAATTGCTCCTTATCTGCCTCAGGCGCATTCAGTGTGGGGGCGTAGACGGCGATGATGTTGAACAGGTGTCCCTTCAGTCGCATCGTGGCGAGTCTCGGAGTGCGCGGGTCCCACCTCAGGAAGGCTGCTTGGGCCTCAGGGCGATGGCCACACCGTGCTGGCCACTGTTATCATCACTCCACTGTGGTAGAGATGATAGACGACATTTGTGCCAGGAACCTTGATTGTGCGATACCCCCTGTCTGGGAATCTTAGTTCGGAAAGGCATGCCACGTTGACCCCATAGTCGTGAAGGGCCCTCATGGTGAGCGCTTGCATTCCTTCGTCACGGAGTGTGCGTACGTTCCAGCAGCCCACTCTGAGCTCTTCTCTACGATTCATCAGACGAGGAGGGTGCAGGGGATGGGGATGATCGGCTTGCAGATTTTCCACCGTCTCCGCCGATCGAAGAGCCAGCGCGTCGGCTCCTGCGGACGCCGTAGCATGTGCAGCAGAGTAGTGATGATTCGTAGTCATGTGAGAAGAAGATTCTTGGGATAAATTACAGAAGTAGGGTACCCAGGCCTACTCGGATAACGTTCTTGCTTGCCGCGGGGTTCCCACAGACGCAGAGACAGGAACGACCAGAAGCCGCCGGTTGCCGATGCAGACGCTCCTTGGATTTTCACCAGAGCCCTTGTTAGTCGGCGTGTGTGTCAGACCTGTCCGCCTTGGGTGGCCCTACCAGGAACGAAGTTCCGGACGGCATAGCTCTGACACTACCGTTTAAACCCAAACCAACAACCACCACCACCACCACCGACTGTGAGGTAAGGGTTGGACTGGGGGGGGGGGGTGGAAGCCCCTGCACCCGAACAGAATAGTGAATAGTTCTTTTTCTATTAGCACATATTGTTTTTCACACTGGGTTAGTGATTTCGAGGCATATGCCATAGGGTTGCCTTCTTGTATCAGTGCTGCACCAAGACCATTTTGTGAGGCGTCTACTTGTATGGTAATTAGTTTTGAAAGGTCAAAATATTTTAGAACTCTCCCAGAGCTTTCTGTTAGGATATCTTTGATTTTCTTGAAAGCTTTGGTTTGTGGTTCCCCCCCATTCAAAGTGGGCATTTTTTACTAGGAGCTGACGTAAACGGCTTGTTATTTCTGATAGGTTGGAGGCAAATTTGGATAAGTATGTAACCAGATCAAGTATAGTTTCAAGTTCAGCTTTGTTGGTGGGGAAGTGGCATGTCTCGAATCGCAGCTATCTTGTCTGGATCTGCTTCAACTCCTTCTGATGTTGTCACGTGGCTGAAGTATTTGATTTTGGGTGCTGCAACTTCTATTTTGTCTTTGTTAAATTTTATTCCCACTTGTCTTGCCCACTCTAGAATTTCTGTTAGGGATTTATTGTGTTCCGCTTGGGTTTTCCCATCTATCAGTATATCGTCTATTAATGTGATAACTTCTGGGATGCCCTCAAAGCACTTGTCAATCTTCCTTTGGAACTCATCTTGGGATGATCTCAAGCCAAAGGGTAATCTGTATCTTCTGTACGGTGTGCTGAAGGTTGTTAGGAAGGAAGACTCTTCGGTGAGTGGTATTCACATTTGATGTCCATTTTTGTAAAAATTTTTGATCCACTTAGAGCTAGGAGGACGTCTTCTAGTGTCCTGATGGGATAGTGGGGTCTCTAGATAGCTCAGTTGAGATCTTGGGAGTCTAGACAGATTCGGAGCTTCTCATTTCCTTTCTCAATAACTACCAAGGAGTTTACCCGTTCAGTGGGTGTGGTCACTTTTTTGATGATACTCTCCGTTTCCATTCGTTTTAGTTCTCGAATCAGTTTTTTCTATAAAGCTAGGGGTATTTTGTAAGGGGGTGTATAGTTGGGGGTATATTCGTATCTACCTGGATGGTACATTCCCCTGGAAATTTTCCTATGCCTTCAAACAAGTTCTTGTTCTTGGATATGATTACTTCTTTAATTATATGACTTGGTGTGGTGTTTGACTTTGCCTGGCACTCATAAATAAGTTTAATAAGGTCGAAAGCCAAACATTGCTTTAGACCCCAAATTGGCGAAGACGCAGTGTTTATGATATGAAAATTTACTTTGTGTGTGTAGTCTTTGTACTTACACTTGAGGGAGCAGTGTCCTAACATGTCTAGTGGCTGGCCTCCATATGAATACAGTCAGGCATTGATGGATTTAATTTTTGTTTTTCTCCTGCAGTGTAGGATCTCAAAAATATGTTTGGGTAGAATATTTACATGGGAACCTGTGTATAGTTTGAATTTTACTGGTCTAGGTCCTTGACTTGATTCTATCTGCAGGGTGCAGAAAGCTTCTTCATCTTTTGGTGGCATCATATGAGAGATGACATACCATGAATTGGTCTTCTGAGCTATTGTCATCGCTATCTCCTTGTAGGTGTGTCTTGTATATGGTCTTACATACTTTGGTGAAGTGGTTAAAGTTTCCACATCTGGAGCATTGTTTCCCTTTTGTGGGATAGATGGTCCTTTTTCTGTGTGTGTAGCCACAGCGTGGGCACTTGCTACTTTTTTCTTTTCTAATATATTTTTCCTGTTCACGTCTGCGGTGACTCCTGTCACTGTCTTCTGACGGTGATATGAATCATTTCATATCTCTTCCTTTGTCATGTGTGCATGCATTTTTTGTGTGTGTTCTAAAACAAATTTTTTGCTATGACGTCTACTTCGCCCTTCATGAGCTTCAATTGATGTTGGATGTTTTCAAAGGTCTGTATAATCCATATGTCTTTATCAAGTGTGAGGTCTGCCCCTTCATTAAGCAGTCTTTCCTGTTCTACCTCTTTGGTGATGCCGAACACAATGGCATCTCATACCATTTTCTCAGGGTCATTGTAGTTGCAGTCCTTTACAAGTGTTTTTGATTTTGTTACAAACTGTTCAATACTATTGTTACCTTGTGTAACATTCCTGAATTTGTAATGGGCTGTAGGGAGACCACAGTCGCTTTCCCTTGAGCTGAGCTCATGGGTCTTCGGCCCTTTAGAGAGAGGAACTCTTCTGTCCCTTTTTTCTTTTTTTGCTTCGGTTTTTTTGAGGCATGGCCTCTTTACCTTCCTGACCTCCAGGGCATCCACACATGTGGAAACTGGTCAACATGTGCATGGTCTTGCGAAAGAAAAAAGTAATTTCTATTCACTTATCTGTGGACGATCAAAGGCCATAAAGTTGGTATGTTATTTCTTTGTTCTCCTTCTGTAAACCTCCTCGTTCCTTTGGGACAATATCAACAATCATTTGTTTTGGGACATATGTAAATCTTTTTAATATATGCATGTAAGTTGTTTGCCTTATTAAATGTTTTGTTTGTTACAGTCGCGTATCTCGTCCTTCTATATTTGCATTCAGTGTTAGTGTATCAATGACTATGTTAATGCTAATATTAGTATCGATGTGCTACTAGAAGGCTAAAACACATTATTCTTCCTAACAGAAAATAGTCGGTAAGCTATGTCTGGCCGATAAATAATATTATATGGCAAACAGAGGATTTGACTTCGGTTTCACATGTTTTTGAAATCAGGCTTTGTTTTTTGTCTGGAGGCATATCTGTCCATGTGTCGTAAATTCCTCAACCTTTTTCGCCAACCCATAGGAGGAGGTATATTATGTGAACTTGTCACTTTTTTCAGTAATGTTCCTTAGCATATCAGTTCTACAGTTGATTTGAATTTTTTCCATGCTTCTGGTAAATTTGTACTGTCCCAGTCAATCCATGGGGTTGGTAATCCATTTATTTCCGCCATTTTCCTTTTGGTTGTTGTTGAAATGTGGATGATGGCCTCCACCGACATCGTCTTTATTAAGATTTCTAAGGTTTGCTTTCTTCTGGCACCATGTTATGTTATGTTATGTTGTGGTTGCCGGTGACTGGCATAAACAACATTTGAAGAACGGTCAAAGTAAATAATGATGACCAAGATCAGTATTATTTAAAATCATTTATTCTTGACTGCCGGATACCCATGGAGTCTCTCTGTTAACTCCAGGTCTAATCCCTTGTTCAGAGACTTTTAGCGGGGGTATTTTGTGACAAATAGGTAAAGAGACATAAATGATCTGGGATGTATCTTTAACAGTTTAAGGAGGGAGCAACTCGTATATCACAACACCCTTCTCAGCAAATATGCCAATATCATTAGTAATGACAACAATCAGGGCACATTCATTAAGCCAGTGCGCATACCCACTAATGACCAGTCCTGCAGCCAAAAGCAAAACCCAATCATGCAGGCGCTAGAAGCTGACATCAACATTGAAATTCAACACATGGCCACTGAAGAGACCATTAAACTCTGCTCCGACCCAAAAGAGTTCAACACCCCTGTTTTGCCATCTGAAAGAAAAACAGACGGATCTGCATAGTGGCCAATTTGACCTCAACAAGGTACTCACAGATTTAGACCCGTTTCCAATGCCCATAATTCTATTTCTAACAAGATAGGCGAGGGAAACAAATACTTTTTATCCCTCGATCTCTGCAGATACTGGCAAATCCCCATCGATGAACATGACCACCACAAAACTGCATTCACCTGGAAGGGTCAATGTTACCAATATGCCTGCCTAACATTCGGTCTAACATCTGCTGGTCAAATTTTTTATCAATGCATAGCCAAGGCATTGACCACCGTCACTTCACTAGAGAATATCTCATCATACATTGACAATAACTTCATCCATGCCCAAACCTTTCATGACTACACCAATATGCTAGAACAGTTATTCATCACTCTTCAAAAATTCGGACTGAAATTCAACCCCGAGAAGTGCACCTTTCTCGCTTCAGAAGCCAAATTTCTCAGTCGCATTGACAGCAAAGGGTTCAAACCTGACCCAGAATACATTCATGCCATTGGCGAGATGAAGCCACCAACTACAAGAAAGGAGCTGCAAAGTCTTATAGGACATCTTGTCTGGATATGCCAATTTCTGGAGACTCGCCTTTACAGATGAATCAAGACGGTTACATTTTCCCACTTGATGGCCCCTTTACATGAACTCAACAGGGCCAACAAGCCATTTGTTTGGACAGAAAAGCCCG